CCCTGATCCTTCTGATGGAACAAGACCCTGGCATGCCTTGTAATATGATCCAAATGACTTTTTGTATATTTCCTCACGCAATTTCTGAATAGCAGAAACATCTTCAACATTAATCTCCTCTCCATTATACTGAATCTTTCCGTCCAGCGAATCATTTGAATCACCAACACTATGACCTTGGCTGCTCCTAGAAATAAGTTCTTCAAGAAAATCTAACCTAACAGCTAACTCACGAGCCTCGTTCTCCAAAAGTTTGTGATGCTCATCCAGCCAACCCTGAATTGGTTCTTCTTCAATATCAGCAGTTAGTTTACGTATGCCAAACCTTATGCATCCAGTTCTTGTTGAACTAGACTTTTTGGGGGGTTTTGATGGCTCTTTTTTCGAAGAAGATATACGTGTAGTCTTAGCAGAAGTCACGAGCTTCAACACTCGCAGCATTTCTTCCACAGCATCATCAATGGCACGCAACTCCAACCTAAATGGCATGCATATATGAACGTCAATAGCATGAATTACCCAATCCCAGGTAGTCACGTTTTCAGATTTTACATCAGATAAACTTCCAGAGACATTAGGGACTCGAGATATTTGCATCCTGCTGCTTCGAAAAATTCTAGTTTTATTAAATTGAAGCATAAGCCCCTCAACAAGCACGCCAATTCGGGCATTCTCAGAAAAGATGGATTGGACCTGGATAAAGGTTTCAACACCATCTCCAACCTCAGCAGATATAGTAAGCATCTCCACATCAACAGCAAATATGGATTGTCTTTTCTTCACTGGTTTTTCAATTTTCACTGATTCCAAAGAGGTCTCTTTTGTAGCCTCCCTATCTTCAATTTTCTTGCCATCATTTTGCCCCTGGGGCTTGTGATTATGAGTTAGCGACTTCAAGTGCAACCCTAGTTCAAATAAAGCAATATGCACATCAGGTTCCCATCTTAGCGATATATTTGTTGCACTGAAGAGACAGCAGACCTCTATTTCCTTTGGACCTCCAGATCGTCTAATAAGCTTTGCGTTCTGCATGTCCAGCAGATCAACTTTTGCTCCGGGATTACTGTCTTCAGGGAACTCCTGATAAATAGATCTAGCTCTTTCAAGATCTATCTGCATAGATTTTCTCTCCTGGTTCATGCAAAGATTGAAGTGGTACATGTCAATAGATACAGTATATTTCATCTTTTTGGCTTCATTTGAGACTGTGGACGTAATGTGAGCAGTGCGTGAGATCCCATCTGCTGAGTTAGCAATTAAAACTCTACCACCTTGGGATCCATAATTAACACGTTTGGGATCCGGAACAACTATGTCCTCCAAGCCCACATCTCCGCAGATATTGACAGAACACCTTTCAAGATTGAGTTTCAAATGTTGAATCCCCTTGCTTGATTGTCTGGACGACCGCATTCCTTTGCTTTGTGCTGGTTTCTTGTTCGAAGCAGATAAATTTTTCCCTAAGGCCTTGATGGATAGTGCAGTTGATACCAGTGATTCAAGACGCCTGTAGGTCAAGTACACACCCATACCAGTTACATCAGCACCAAGAACCATCTTAGACTTCAAACCATCTTCGGGTGGATCCATATCTTTTTTCCCCAAGTCCAGGCTGATCTTAGCAATGTGCATTAATGACCCAGTATTTGTTTCCACACCAAACAAGCTCTCTTTCAGGCATTCTTGATATTCATCTGACATGTGTAAGATAAGTTCACCAAGTTCCAAATGCAGTGTTGTGCCCGTACCAGATATGTTGTTGGCAAAAATGTGTGATGATTGTGAACAACCCTGTAGTTTAATATAGAGTAATTATGACAGAGTTGCAGACTCAGAAGAGCAAAGCAATGCATAAGCCATAGTTTTAAATGGCGAATGGCGAGGCGAGGCGATTCGCCCATAGCCTCGCCACGAGTCGAGGCGATTGGCCATGGCGAGGCCTCGGCAACACAAAACATCAAAGCTTAAAAAATATATTTATATAGATAGTAATATCATATATTTAAGTTTAATTGCAAAAAATAACCTTAAATATCCTCAAAGAAAATAATATAAATTAAATTTGGTTGCAATTACTAAAAGCATCTCAAACTTAAATGTGAATACTAGTAACATTACAAAAAAGAAATATTGAATTTACACTGTGCAGTAACATAAAATAGAAAAATGTTAAAGAGGGTAAATAAAAAGTTTAAAGTAAAAGTAAATGAAATAAAGACGTTGCACCCTTTCACCTTTGACTATTGACCATGCTAGTAAACATAAATAAAAGTAAAAAATGAAGAAAGAAGAAAAAGAGAGAAGGTAGACAGGAAAACAGAGATAAGGGAGAAGGAAAAGAAAGGAAAAAACATGCATCACCGACCATCTTGGCGGCGAGATGGTGGCCGGAGTTCAGAGGAGGCCGGAAATGGATGGGTCAGCCGTGGGTTTCTACAATTTTCAAACATGAGAAGCCTAAGGAGTGCTTTCACAGAAACCCTATTTTGGGGAGAACCCATTTGGGGATTTTTCACCTTTAGCTTTCGTATTCTCAGTCTAAAACTTCGTAGGTCTGGGAGATGAAGTGAAGAAAGAGCCTTTTAATTTTATTCTCTTTTTTTTGAAAAAAAAAAAAATGTACTGCACCTTTAATTTCTCTGAAAGGTGCTGAGGCGCGCCTCACAGGCGCCTCTCGCCACGTGAAAAGGCGAGCCGAGGCGACCTGAAGCTAGTGCCTCGCGAACAGGGTCGCCTCAGGCAGTGGCGAGGCGAGGGCTCGTCGCCATTTTAAACTATGGCATAAGCAAGAATAAATCTATCCTAAAAAGTATCAACTTTTGCCTCTACATATTTAGTATAATGTTGTTCTGCTTGTGGGATTTTTCAGAAAACAAAAACTACTGATAGCGACGTATTACCAATTATTTAATAGATTGCTAATAGAAAATGCAGTCAAGGTAAGACAAACCACAGGGTGTCCACACATTCATGAAAAGGCATAATAAGAAGTCAAAAATCAAAGCAATGTCAGGCCATCTGTCCACATTCATTAAAGAAAACTGATTGATCCTAGGGAGTTGAAGACACAAGTAATGAAAGTATGACCACAAAACATCATGAATATTTTAATTTAAGCAATATGTTGGTACGAATCCAACTTCTTGTCTCCGTACAGTCCAAAAAGGTGACATGCATATGGATTTGACAATCCACCAGAATTAAATTAAATTAAACAGAGTATGTAAATATATATGTGCACTTCTTAGAAGATTTTTCTGTATCTAGGTGAGTATTATATTTATATATATACATATATGTATATGTATATATATATATGCCTTGATAATAGAAAGTGAAAGATGCACCAGAGCAACTTGCTTGATATCCATGCGAGTATCCTGTGTCCAATTCTCTGCAGGAGCCTTCGGTTTTTTATCCTATAAGGTAAATCGGTAACTTATGTATAAAGACTTCCAAGACCACTTATCTGCCTATCTCAAACTCTCAGTTCCCAGTTGTTGGAGCCTCATGGGCAGTACTCCGCGTCTATGTGCGTGCATGTGTAAGAGATAGAGGAGAGAGTTGGAGGAAAGAGAGGAGAGAAAAAGATATGGCTGAAAGAGGGAAAGTAGATGTGTAGAAGCAATTGCATGGGTGACTAGAAGCTGAGTTTACCAGGGATAATGGAAAATATAAGGTTTTGTATCCAATTAGGGGGCTGCTGGTCTTTTAAATTTAACTAACTAAAATTAACTGTGTCAGTCATAGAAACTCATATCTCTACCTACGGCCAGTTTAGTGCCCAGATGGGTGATTAATGATTCAGGCATCAAGCATATGCACACAAAACGGAAACAACCAGAGAACAGATGTGTCATTACATAATGTTATTAATGGAGGATGGCTGTACATGGCGGTTTGCCAAAATTACGCCATGACTGCCATCCTTCACAAATTTTACATGGCGGATTGTCAAAATCCACCACGCCATAGAATGTAAATTTCCTTCAACCACCAATGATGAAAATTTCCTTCAACCAAACCAACATAGAAAGTCTGACAATTATGTTATTCCTGACGACAACTTGCATTAATTATTGCTATGCCATAGAATGTAACGGGGGTTGAGCTTTTAACACCACACAAGAAAATCAATATCGAACGTCTTCTTACATGGTATAGTGGTGACCCAGTCAAGCTAAAAAGCACAACAGTCATCTCTGGGGCAGAAACAGTGCATGTCCACATGATTGGTTTCTGTTCAGTTAAATGTGATTGTTCTTTGGAAGGACTATCTTCTGAAAATCCTTGTTTTGGCTTCTGCGGATGGCGAAGGCGAGCCCATGATTCTAACCTGTTCAATAGTAAGTTGCACTGTGTACCTCCAAGCCTAACATCAACTTCGGATCTGATAGGGAAGCTAGGCTGCAAATCAAAGAAATCCAAGTAAAACTTTGACTTGACTGAATATCAAGAGGAATTAAACATAAATGTCAACCAAGACATAATGTGATATTTTGTCTCGTCATAGGTTTCCATCTTTTCTATAAAGCTTTATAGTTATGGAAGTAGAATTCTACCAGTTGATTCAGATCTCAGTACACGAAAGACTCGAATATGAATATTTTACTCCAAAAACAATTGGCCCTTGGTTTAAGTTATACTCATTCTACTCAATTCTAACCAATATTGAGCGCTATTATCTGAAATTAAGGTAGTTTAACCAAAAATAAAATAAAAATGCGCTCAACGTAATCTGTGAGTAAAGTATACCTGTAGCGGTATGTAAATAGACGACACAACATCAAGTTTCAGTATTTCCACGGCAGGGATGCCAGTTTCTCTAAGGAGCTACAACAGGTAGAACATTAGTAAAAGAGAAATGAAGTAATGCTTCAGTCACGAATTGAAGTTTGGTTAGTATGTTCTTACATGAATCTCACTAAATTCCATCTGGACATCAAGTTTTACGCTTTCTCCCACATCTTCTATAGAACAAGATTTCATGCATTTCAGTTGGATTCCCATAATATTATTGTCGATAATAAGTCCATAACTCTGATGCACAACCTTTACATCAAGTTTAGGTAGAGTGAAGGCGGCCTATTGAATTAAAATCAGCAATAAAAATTCAGCTATAAATAATGCATAACTCAACGGAAATAGTTAAAATAATAAATGGAAAGCTAAAGAATTCATGGGATGCCGTTAACAAATAACCACAAGCATGTAGTTCAAGTAGTATCAATCACCCTTTGAAAGGGCATCAACCAGGGTTTAACCCTGTATGTAATGGTCATTTGGTTCTGATTATTCCTATTCCTTTCCCTCCACTCCACCCCGAACTACTAAACAAAAAGCAAGGACAATGTAGATATATATTGTGATGGTTAAACCAGAAGGTGAAATCAACTATACATATTATTGTTATACAAAAATAAATAAAAAAAGAGTTGACATGATGCATGAATAAATAAAGAGTTTACATGCAGATATATATATATATATATATATATATATATATATATATATATATATATATAGCGATAGTTAAACCAGAAGGTGAAATCAACTATACATCATTATTGTGATACAAAAAATAAAATAAAGAGATTGCATGGTGTATGAATCAGTGCGAGAACCCATAAACTTTAGCCCACTCAGCCAATGAACCGAAGCATAAAAGCTTAATTGACAAGCATAAGTGTGACAGATACATATTTTTCAGTTCCGTGAACCTACTTCCTCTCAACAAAGGCTATGATCCAATAATAAATCAGGGAGAAATCACCAAAATCCCGAGCCAACGTCAAGTTTTGGCCCAACATAATTCTGGAGTTGTATATCTTACATTGGCTCTTGCATTCTAGCCCCAACATAATACTTGAGTAAGTTGGATAGCTGCCAAGGTTTCCTGTACTCTTGCCCTATAGTTACATACAGCTACATATTCATATGCAGGTCCAATCTAATTGAAATTATCCTCACTATTACGTGATATAGTGAATTGTTTGGAAAGAAATAAATTGAGATATTTTAATTAAATTAAAAAAATAAACAAACAGGAGTTTCCTACCCCAAGAGCAAGAGCCGAATTGGGAAGAAGCTTCCCCGCCCAAACCTAAGGCCCACAATCACAGTTCAACAAATGATAATCCTTAGTATCAAATGATAGTCTACTTAATTAGAGTCCTATTTGATACTCTACTTAAATTGTGTCCCAGTGCTAAATATAACCCTAGTGAATATTCTAAGCAAATGGGGTCAAAAGCCTATGCATTTAATTAATTGAAATAAAAATTGATCTCTAACAGTACTCCTGGAAGGGCATCCTTCAACAGTAATATAATTATAGTCAATAACATCTACGTGTATTAGCCACCCTTGTTCCTAAGGCTGGTTAATATTATCACCTTACATAAATAGACGGTTAACCCGACACATAGGCAATATGTGTGTGTGTATGTGTGTGTTGGTAGAACTTACAAGATTGTGGGAACAATTGCAATGACCTAATAAACAGAAAAAGTAATGTTGAACCAGTTCAAATCAAGTCAACCTTTTCCGGTAACACAGATACAGCAGACAATGCTTTTTCTCCCTGCGGTTTTTTAGCAGAGACGGATTCTTTGTCCACCACCTGCACAACTCCTGAGGCAGGCTGAGAAGATTCGTCAGGCAGATCCTTTTTCTTAAGCAGAAGTTCCTCATTTAAGTTAACAGAAACTTGTCCACATGTAATATCCAAGTCCCTGATAACTACACCTGTTTCCCTGCACCAACAGTAAAAAATCAGTTAACATACAAACCCATATTCCTTTCTCTTCTTTTTTTCATACTTGTTCCCAAAAGTTTCCTCTAAACAAAGCATATTATCTTCTATAGAAGATAAAAAACTAATTTACCTCCTATTGCCTATGTAATAACATTATTTGCACAAATATTTTAAGAAAACGAATAAAACTTCAACACCTTGAAATGAAGGCATAGCACTTGTATTCACTTAATTATGCTGAACATACTGAATCAAACATACAATTTCAGTTTGTTTCATGTGGTCTAAATTGATTCTTATAGCCAAGCACAACCCGCATTGGAGCTCAAACACACAAGCTACCAAATACACATGAGATACCACTTTCTACTTATTTGAACCAACTTTCAATTTAAGTGTTTACTGTTCTTGATTTCATATATATTCCTGACATAAAATTGCAAAAATCACTTTATCTTATCAGTGTCTCTAATTCCAGAGAATGCAACGTGCAACATTCAATGGCAGAATGGCATATTACTTCAAATCCAGTACAATCTAGACAAAATTATTGACCAGTAGGAAACAAATTTAAGGAAAACTATTCTTCCACCTTTGTAGTTTCATATCCATAAAAGCTCCCAAAGGAATTATCAATCAAGACTTCCAGCCATTACATCCACAAACCCATCAAATTTGAGACAAAAAGAAAAATCAAACCACAAACAAACACAACCTACCTATTATGACCAATCTCACACAAGAGTGAGAATTCTTCACAGCTGAAAGGAGGACAAACCCCATCTATCAACTGACAACCAGAGGAAGATCCACCAGATGTCAAGTGCGGTTCTCCAAGGTGAACATGGATAGGAAAAAGCTGCAACTTCACAAACAACTCCGCCTCAGAACCACCATCTTTAGATATGTCTACCCTCAGTTCTTTAATATCCAAAGTAGCTTTTGGATTCTGCAGTTACCGTATCAAGTGTAGATGATATTAACATATGATATATAGACAAATTTAACGTATGCAACCCATTACTGGATTCATGAGTGATACTAAAAACAAATAAGTGAATAACCAGATTGAATATTATACAACAGAAAAACATATAGTATGATCCGGAGACTTCTTCTCTGAGGATATATGGAGTTATAACATGAATATATGTATCGCTTGGAACAGATAGGTTCAAGATGTATCAAAAATGTAAAGATAGGCAGTATCATCATTTTACTACTCGTAATCACATTTCAATAACCTAGTCATGACTTTGTTGGTCCACATTTTTTGCGATAAACACTGAAAAGGCAAAAATGGTAGCAGAAATATGACAGCATGACCGAACAGAAGCGTGAATGCTGAGAAGACAACTAGATATTCTTACCTTCAATGACAAGTCAGTCACAGAAACTGACAAAAACCTAGCAATGTTAGCCAAGACCATCCACTTTCCTCTACCAGGGCTGCGAGATTTTTTAGATCTGGTTTTCTTAGTAGTATTTGTTGAAGATCTCATTACAACTTCCAAATCGCATATTACCACCTGCAGTTTTGGGTCCCTAGAAATGAAGCCAACCCCAATCTTAATCAAGGACTGCCGTAAACTTAATCTGACTTCACCAACAGATATGGACTCAATAGGACCCTGTGCATCAAAAAAATTGCCAAATACAGGTTCAGTAATGTAATGTTGTGCACAAAGTTTGGTTCGAAACACAAATCAGAAAGTAAACACAATGCCTTTTATCAAGATGATCATTTTCAAGTTTCAAAATGCAAATAGCAAAGAAGTTTTTCTATTTCTTATAGATTTACATTTTTATGGGAGATCCATGAGGTGAGTTACAATCGATCTGAATAGACCACGCTGACAATTTAGTTTTATTGTGGACCAATCCACGTAATAGACCCACTGATACCAAATTAGATTTATTCACAAATATTGGACACTTGGTAGCAAAAAAGAAGCTATCATACTTCCATATGTCCCATTATCAAAAGTGCTGCTCAACACAAATATTATGATTATTTACAGTTCAAGTCAAGAAAATAAAAGGAATACAGGGAAAAGGTTGATCACCAATATCAGAGAAAGCAGCCGATGCAGTAACTAGAGATAAGTCTATGCATGCATGAAAAACTATCAACATGCGAAATCCAGTTGATTACAACATATTAAAGTAGTTGTATTTGGAAGAGTAAATTATTTTCCAGTTTTCATGTTTTCGAGAATTATTTCTTCCACGAATAAGTAGGTATGGAAATTTTCCAGAAATAAATATGCCTATTGAGGCTAGTTTCACATCTTGATATGTTTTTACAAGGGATGATGCCTCATTAGTCATTAGAAAAATATTTTATATCCAAAAAAAAAAAAAATTGAACTACACTTCGACTATAAAGAAATTAGATTAATTTATTCATGTTCAGATGTCCCAGATCAATATGTAGCTAAACAACTCTTTGAAGCTTGCAAATGGTCCCAAAGAACTGGAAAATCATGCAAAATGAGTGCACAACTAACTGAAGTAGAGTACAAAAATTAAAACATGTAAAGAAAAGTAAGAAGAAAACTGATCCATGGTATAATTCAATTTATTTATTTATTATTTTTTTTGTTCTTTTTCAAATCAGGATACTATACTACCTCCAAATATTGAAATTTAGAAATACAATATTAAAAAGCATGTACCCAACATAAAGCAAGTACCAATAGCTATTTGAGCTAAATGTGAACAATAAAGAACAGTATAGATTACGAAAGGTGTAACCCATGCGAACAACCCCTAGCTATGTATGGTCAGATAATAGGATGCCCACCATTGTATTCCACCAAATGCCATAATTTGATTTGAATGGAATTAGGGATAATATAAATGGATATCTCTTCAATCAGAATATAAATCCGTTCAATTAATTAGAGACAGATGTGTATTAAAATGAATATACATACAACAGTCTATGTGCATTTGTGTGTTCAACTTTGAATAAAGTGTGATTAAATATCAAGTTATCTACTTCTGCAGTTTCAGCTAAGACAGTGAAATCGTGTGGATTGGATAATTAAAAATCTATGAAAAATCAAAATCATGAAAATACTATCTTCGCTACTTGACTTTTATGCATATTTTACACCGTTTATCATTTAATTTAAGTTCTACTTATAAATAATTTAGTTTAAGTTCTAATTATAAGTAAAAATAAGTTACTATTTTTAATTAAAAATAATAACATAATTACAATTTGTTTTAAAGTATCATTTTCCTTATTTAAAACGAACAAATAGTGCATTGAAAGTGTAAAATGCTAAATACATAATGAGAACATATAACATCATATACCAAACAATTCTTTTCAATATTAAATGCAAAAGCAGTATCCATTCTTTCATTCTATCTATCACTTTTCAAAATGAAATTTGTGCCGTTCAACATGTTACTTTGTAAACGCCAACGAGGATTGGTTTTTTTTCTTTTTTTTTTTCATTTTGACACACCCCTGGCCTTGATGTTAATGGCATGCTTAATGAAAGGTTCATTAATTGTCAAAACTTTCGAGCCAAGGGGAGAGGAAACTAATTGGGAAACAAGGAAACTAATTGCAACTTCTAAATGAGATTATAATTGTAGCACTATTTGATGGAATTTAATAATGTAAATACGGTCAGTGTGCATATAATACATCATTATATAACTTCCCTAATCTACATGGAACACCTAAAACCACTAATAAAACGAAAAGTAGAAAATATATATTTGCAATTCTTGAATTAAAAGTATTATGTTTGCAACTAATCAAGTGATATATATACATCTTTATGAGTTTGGAAAATAGTTGCAAATGGTACTTTATATAGATTACAAATATTACCTAATAACATGCAATTAACTCAATGCTTTTATGCACATTTTTAAGTAATTTTTTAAATAACCCACAAGGAACAAAGCACACATATAAAAAATCTAGAATGAAACAATTCCTTCAATGGATGATCGATATGAAATCTAGGATAATCCTTTGTCATAGTCATATATCTACCCCCGTTCATTTGAAGAAGTATCAAGGTCAGACAAAAATACTCTATTCTAAAAAAAATCATTATATGAGGAAGTTTTTCATAGCAACAGTGAGATATTCATAATATATTAACTACTCAATCGATTAAAACCTTGTTGAATTTCAGATATATGTCCCTCAAGCATTTCCATCCACCAACTCTAAATCCAATCGATGCTCCCATAACTCGACTGAGGATCCAGGCCAGCAACCGGGAAGCAAACCTGAAACAAGGTGAATTACGGATAAAGATCAATCCATACTTCATGGTGATTCCACATAGTAAGCACGGTACCATGAAACAAGTAACACATCTCAGAAATAATAAATGATATTAGAAATGTGCATTGAGAATAACTTAGTCCATTACGTAAAGAAATAAACAACAGAATAAATGAAACAATCTTAACATACACAAACATATAAAAAATAAAAATGATGAAGCATGCACTATAGTACAGCTCGTGTGCCGCAATGAAGAAAATCAAATCACCAGCTTTGCCTTAAATGATTACTAATCAGAACATTAATAATTGACCTTTTAAATAATCAACAGTGTAATGTTAGTAATGTATATTGCATTCTACTAGCTCAGATTAAATTTTTATGTTATTGGGTTCATGAGCTGCCAAGTACGAGGATGTATGGCAGTAGATCAAGTTGAATCTAAAAGGGGAAAAGCGTTCACATAACCATAAATTTTGAGAAAGTACTGTTAAAAGTTAAAACTTGACAAAGATTTTAAAAAGTATCAATGTCTTTATTAATAAGGTATCCAGAAGACTCATTTGTATTCAAGGGTTTCCACTCATGAGTTAAGGTTATAGATTTAACAATCAGGCATCAGAAGGTTCTCAAATGTCCCCCCAATCAGCTCAACGCCTTAGATTAAATCCAAAGTATAATCAGCGTCAGGATATGGAGGTAGTCAGTAGAAACCAATTATAAGTATGTTTTCCAAATCCCTATATAAACGAAACTTCATCACAGCTTTTCTATAGATGGAAGGAATATTTAATATAGGCCTTGCCACTTCATTAATCAAGGAAATCAATATAAGTCTTTAGTCTGGCAGATGGATTACATTTATTTATCTAATGGTTCTGCTCCCACCAAAATCCACCACCAAATATAAGAAAACGATAAACAATCAAAAGCCGACCACCCAGAAAAAAAAAATAAAAATATATGGTACATTCTTCTCAAGAAGCATATGAGGTTTTTTCCTTCTTCAGGAGGTACAAATTACATTTGTCAGTAATTCAAATAGCATTCTTCTTGTGTAGGCAAATATCAAAAATATACACAAGCAACATTTCTCCCTGTAAAGAAGTATTCATAAGTTAATGTCCAGTGATTAATTCCTCATGAATCTTGTGTGCTCTATACTTCCACACTATTCAGTATCAAATGATTTTTCAAGGTAACCTGACTGCAGGAGTTACTTAAAACCATTAGGATTATTTTACAGCTAGACATCATTTTTCATCCCAATGATCCATTTGCCCACCTTCACATGGTGTACACAGGCAATTGGATAGAAAACAAATAAACATCAGTGACAAAATACATTTTTCTCAAAAGCTGTGTTTGGACACGAAAATGTAAAGAATAAAAATAAGATATATTTTCCTTCTCACTTTTTCCTCCTCAATTTTATACACAATTCTAAATTAAATCAATCATTACCATATATTTCACTACAAAAGTCATTATCACCAACTAACGTATTTCTAACTACCCCACATTTTCAACCATATATCACTATCCACTAGTTGAAGGAAGTCAAAATGCAATAATATCCAACAGCAATCTTACGCCTTCTTCTGTTTATTAAGACACTATGGAGCTGGGATAGCGGAACTCCTCATACTAAACAAATTTTGCTTCATATAAAAATCTAGTTTCAGACACAGCTTACTTTATTTAGGTAAAGTCACAAAATAATGACCCCAAGAAGAAAGTAGGGCACAGGAAAAGGACACTCAATGCACGGAAAACATCAAGTGCATTCTTCCTTCGCCATAAACATCATTTGCCTCCGACACTAATGCACTTCAACACTATGAATAAGTGTTGAGAGTGGAACAATAAACAAGAGCTGGTAACAATAGGAATAAGTGTGAGAGAAGCACAATAAACTAGAGCTAGTACATCTAATAGTGCAGCATTAAGAAAGTAACAGAAAGTATTTTAAACGACTTCAAAGGTATGGATTAAGAACAAAACTGAAGAGCCTACATTTTTTATGCCTAAACATTTCTCATATTTCTCATTTCCAAACAGAACAAATAATGTCAAATGCGACTTATCAAGGAGGAACAACATCTACTTGTGTGATTCATAGACAAGTTCACTTAATTCAGCGTGATCAGAATCAGATACATCATTCACAACCGTGCACGAAATTAACACACACCAAAAAAAA